GAGAGCTTTAGTTTTCATGGACGGGACCGAGCTTATCGTTTACACCGGACGCTCGAGGAAGGAAGGGGGGAGGGAAGGCGGAAAACACATCGGGAATAAGGACGCACACGTATATCGTAAAACGACGCCGCTGTCGCGAGAATGCGGCACGAGAAGCGGTCAAAGATGAGAGGTGAAGTAAAACAAAAGGGTGAACTAAATCCAGCGAGGGAGGCCGCTACGCGCGCGCACACGGAATTCGTGATCGAACCGGGTTTCCGGGAGAGCGGGTTTGCGCGCGCGTGCACCGGGACTGCAGGCTCGTCCTGCATCCCGTCCTCCCCCGCACGCCGCTCCATTTTTATTTTATGAATCATGCGAGAAACGATCCAGGTTAATCTTAAGAGATTTCTTCGTGACGTAATTTTTTGCTCCTTAATAATATATAGATCATATTAAGCACTAATTTTTTGATCGATTTATCCTCAGAAGAGGAATTTTTTTAGAGAAATTGTATCATCGTAAAATTTTAATATCTCTTAATTAAACTTTGGATTAAAATTCCAAAAATGTAACAAATATAAGGGATGGAAAAAATATTGTTATATTCGATTTTGCTTGTTGAAAGATTCTTGTCAATCCGCTAATAGTCTTCTTTAAAGATACAATTATTGGGCCAATCTTCTTCTAAGATCTTGAAAATCTTGAAATTACTTTTGAGATTAATTAAAGTTTGAATGTATATAGAAGAAAAAGAAATAATCTTTAAAAAAAATGGTTAACTGAACTGATAATTAAGATATTGTGCTTCGATGCAATTATGTTTCTTTATTCTTACTATAATAAAAGAGAATGAACTCCAACTTGTGAACTCCATATTGGAACTTTATCTGACAAAATCTTCGGAAATCCGCGAAAAATTTTCCCTCGATACCTTCCTAGCGCCTAATTCACTCGAGGAAATCAACGGATTTACAGTTCCGAGCACGTTCGAGTTTGTTGGTCGAAACAAGTTATGCTGTCTGTGATACAGCGGAGGTAGAATCGCCGCTGATATCTTCCGAAGTATTTGCGAAGGGATTTTTGATTTCCGGCAAACGTCCAAAACGTGCTACGCGGTGCGAGTAAATGGGAACAGAGGCGTATTGCGGGTAATAATGAGGTTGCTTCGAATATCAATCGTTCCTGAGAATGCCTTGTTAATCGTCCCGAATCGCTGCCGAAGAAATATTACAGTAATCAAACCTAATTGTTATCACGCGCAATTATGCATACATAATACGTATAAAACTAAATCTATAACATTGAACTGACAGTATTCTCAAGTAATTTTCTGTATTTCATCGAAACGTAGAATTTTCATTTTTATTTTATTCTTGCTTTTCATAATTATATGCAAAAATATATTTAATTAAGTACTAACATAAAAAAATTGCTTATGAAATTAATTTATTGCTTATTTATTTCTTTTTTAATTAATTAATTAATTGCTTTTGAAATTGCATTTTTGATTATGCAAAACATGATTATCATTTCTCACTCTCTCTTTTTCTTTAGATAATTAAATTGAATAATTTAGTAATTGATTATGTATCTTAGTTAATTATTAAATGGATAAAAGACAAGTTGCAACCGCAAAAATAATAACCGAAAAGTGAAGAATAACATGTACGTATTAATATAAATAATTTTTAGATGAATATCTGAATAAAATGATAAAGCTATTCGAATTAAATACACTAACGCCATCTTATAAATATTTTATGTGGATTAAATTTGGATTACTGGACCAACAAAGGGTTTCCACAGTCATGAGTATAAAAGGCAATGATCGCTCAATATATAGCTTTGCTGATAAGCATCTATATCAAACTGATCTGCTATTTACAATAGTGACTGCTGTATTAATTTAATATTAGCATCATACATATATGCTAGTTGAATCGGATACTAAAATCAATAATAATATTAAATTTATAAATGAAAACAGAGTAAATAATTTTGGCTACGAATTCTTACGCACATACACACACACACACACACACACACACACACACACACACACACAGAGTGTATATATATATATATATATATATATATATATATATATATTTATTGTGATAATTATGTGTATTATTTATTGCACAACTAAACAAATAAATAAAATTACATAATTTTTTTAAATTTAAAATATATATTTAATGTGTAAAGATATTATAACTTGATTTAATTATACACATATACGAAAGCATTCGTTGTAAGAGAAATAACATTTTAAAACTTTTTATTTTATTGAAAATTTAAAATAACTTTTTAAAATGTAACATATTTTTTATTTTGATTCATAAAAACAAAGAGAATGCGCGAATTTTGTGTGTTTACGAATAAGTAGAACAGAAACTACGTATATGGAGTTAAAATAAATGTTATCTTTTGTATTTTAACTTTTAACTCTAAATACAGCGTTCTCTGAAGACTGTACTCACATATACTATTTGCTCTTAAACACAAGATTTGTATCTCTCTCTTTCTCTGTCTCTCTTTTTCTCTCTCCCTCCCCCTCCCCTAATATATCACGTTAAGTATAGAAAAAGGGTAATTATTTACTAATACAGATCACCTCCCGATTTTAATAATTCTCACATATGTTAGATCATCACTCTGAGTAATGTTGTAAAGGTTTTAGTCGGTGGTTATCGTCTATTAAAAAGTTATAAACAAAAAATGTCTAATAAATAATATGTAAGTTTATGACACCGTATATAAACTATGTTGTCGTTTGACATTGTTTACCTTTCTTATATTGAAATCAGGTAGCGGAATAATGATAGGCTTCTATGTTTTTGATATTTCTTATGACTTTGAAAATATTTAAGAAAAGGTGAAGGGAGTTAGTACAAGACAGATCGTTGTACAGTTAACATGAAGTTCTACGAGTTTCTCGCTTTAACAACAAAATATGAGTTATTAAATTATTTATACGCGAAAAATGTTATATTTGTAATTTTCTATGCAAAGTGAAGTGTATATCCCGCATCACAAACACGGGTTGAATTAGATTATATCTTCGAAAAATGGAGCCCTTCGCAGGGGGACGGAACACACTGTCCATGTACTTTCTAAAATGAAGCAAAATTTACTCTTAGTGGAGGTTAAAATTAAGGATGTTTTGTATGTACAATCCCAGCAAAAAGTAGCTGAAAATCAATATTGACGAATATATCCACTTTTGGTGTATTTTGAGTATGAGAAATTGTGGAATATTACAATTTGATCTTAGCTACAGTACAGAGATGTATTTTTTAATATTTATTGCGTTTTTACTGAAATATTTCGAATTTTTGTTAATCGAAATGATTCACTTTTGGCAGAGAATTTCGTCTTGTGACAGATACATGGCTAACTTTATTAAATTATATTTAATATCTTTTTAACCAGTTAGTACTCGCATAATATTATTTGATCAAATATTTCCTCTGTATCTAAACTTTTGCAAATTTTAAACAAATTCTGAATATTATTTGCATGTGTTTTTGTCATTTGAATCGACGTGGTACGTTTCCCATAAGAACACATATTAATTCGATGCAAATTAAAATTTTTATAACTTGTGAACGCTGTAGTGAATCGATTTAAAAATTGTACTGAAGATTTTCTAAATACATGTAAGGACATTCTGTACAATTTTCATTAAATTCTCAATATTTTGAAAATAGATACAAAACATCCCTAAGTGAACTAAGTCGCGTTACGGTCTCTTTGCATAGTTTCCCTATAATGCTGCTCTGTCACTCTATCAAAGTTTCAGCCAGGCGCTCCTGTATGGCTCTTGTGCGATAAATTAAGAGGCGCTAATTATGGTTTATACATAGATACGTCAGCCAACTTATGTAGTTTCGCGCATATATTCTAGACCTATAACGAGATCTATATCGATACATCAGCTCGAGAGAGAGAGAGAGAGAGCCAAGGCCGCATAAACTCTCCAAGTTTAGATTAGGAAAGTCCACGTCGTTTCTAAAACGACGAGGCATCCTTTACGGGGAAAATTTTCAATGGAGACTTCAGATAACTTTCCAAAACTCATCGTGAATCATGTTCGTAAGATACCCACGCAATCGTTGTCCATCAACGTAAAGAGAGACAGTTTAACACGTATTTTGAAATTAGTCCACAATTAAGCAGCTAGTTGTACGTTTAGCGTTTTTAATACGTCAAAATTGCATTTGCTGAGAGGGCCGATTCTTCATCCTTCTACTTGCAAACTCATTAGTTTACATAGCAACATTGTGCGCTCCGCCAGACAAGGGGTCAGGCAAGATCAATGGGTGGATCAAGTCTGGCATGTTGATCGAGCATCGCCGTTCCACGAATACGAGTATCTAAAAGCTTACACTGAGAGACGACACTGAAAAAGCGCCCGAAGGGACTAAGATTAAAAGAGCTCGAGTAAATAATGCAAAAAAAGCCCCTCGACTCGTAAATACGCGCGCGAAGTAGGTAAAGAAGAGAGCCGCTAGTTTACTTTCGGCAGTTACGAGAGAATACAGATGCTTCCCCGAGTTCGGTCCGCGGTATTGCGGTGCATTAATTCAAGTGGGATGCAAGCACGGTAGAATAAGCGTAGACGACGCTTCTCGGTCCATTCGTATCCGACGAATTGTTGCGAGCTCGAGAGGGCTGACACCCTTGTCAGCGCTATTAGCGCCGCTAATTATGCAGGTACGAGTCGGAGATGGGCTAAAGCGACCTGGAATACACAACGAGAGTAGGACCCGCGGTGTAGAGTGCGAAGAGTGATGAGGATGGACCCGTGCGAAGAGACGAGGCAGGCCGAGGCCGCGAATTCGATCGCGCGTCGCGCTCCCCGCGAGATTAGGATGCAGTGATCGGGGGAGGGGAAGGTGGTGGTGCGGTGAAGTCAGGTGGCGAGAGGAGGTCCACGGGAGTGGACGACGACGACGACGACGACGAGGATGCATCACGCCGGCGGCGTCGGTGGCGGTGGAGGTGGCGGCGGGGGTGGCGGCGGGGCTGGCGGCGGGGGTGGCGGCGGCGGCGGCGGCGGTGGCGGTGGCGGCGGAGCCGGTTACGTCGGCGGGCTACAGGAACGCGTGCACCAGGCTCCGCGACCGGTCCAGCCCGACAAGTGTCCCTACGAGACCTACCAGGCACAAATCCCGGATTGCTGCGCGGCCGCGGTGGCGGCGCAGGACCCGTATCCACGGCCGCCCAGCGGCTATGACGCCAGGTGCTACGACGAATGCCATCGCAGGACGCCGTATCAGGAGGAATCCTACCCTCAGGTATGCCTTGACACGATAAAAATAAGAATTAATTTTTAGAAGATTGGAAGTCTTTAGACTTCCAACTTTATGCGTTTCAATATCGTATATAAGGGTTTCTTCTGGGTCGCTGAGTTTAAATATCATGTCAGAATTAGGATTTGACAGTTGACAGCTGTCAATGTTGTTGTCAACTTCTATATAAACCGAAATATGTAGTTTTGGAAATCTAAAGATATAACCTATCTGAATTTAGATTTGACAGTTGGCAGCTATCAAAAAGTCTTTTTTATGAATTTATTTGCATTTTTTACCTCTGAATTTCGAATTTATTTTTATAACGAGATTTTGCAAAAGTATTTCATATTTCTTATTCGAAACTAAATATAAATAATTTTTTTTAAATTTTCAATCATATGAATGTTTTATGCAATTTTTCCATTTTTGTTATCGTATCAGACGGGAAGCTTATTTTTAGGCCCCACGGAGGTCGCTTATTTTTCGTCGTATAATACTAACATATATATGAAAGTTATAAATAAAAATCATAAAAAGTTTTGAAAAAACCTGTACATCCTCTAAAGACACAGAGTTCTCTTGTCATAGGACAGATTAATTTGTCAGTGACATTAGAGGGTTTCGTTAAATTAATTAAATACGAATTATTATCAAACACGAGCAAAAATTTTGTTATTAAGCACGATCAAAAACGAATGAGGAATAATTATTTTTATAATAATATATTATTTTTCCTAGAACTTTTTTATGAATTATGTAATATTATGTTATATTAATTATGTTACATTTATTGTTATATTCAATTTACTGATTCATTCTGTTTCTATTTGTGCGAGCATGAGACAGTTGAACCAATTAATTTTTTTAAGTATACTTCAAGAAAAATATTTTTTAAATAGTGCAAAGAAATTTAATTGTTAACAATGAATGTATTAGACATCATTAATATTAAAATTATTATTATTAACCGGTTGTATATGACACTCGATATGTTCGTGTTTACAACGTTATTATTAGCGTCAATATTTAAAGTATGAACACATCTATCAATACTTTACTTTGTTTAATCATATGTTTAAACATATGTTAAAAGCGTTTGATAGTTAATGCTAAAAAAGTGCTGTTATTTTGTTATTATATAACTGTGCTGACAAAATGAAACACAAATGCTGGTCATGCCTGCGAATATTTGCATAAATCACTAACAACATTGAAAAATAATTTTTTATAATGCTTGTAAAAGAAAATTTTGAATATACAATTACTAATCGCAAAGTTTTCGACCAACAATGAATCGTGTATTTCTATATTTTAAATTAATTTTTGTCAAAAACAAATGTGGTAAAATGGAAAACATTTTGTCAATATTAGCAAAAATTGGTTTGTGTTTGTAGATACACATTCCTGATTGTTTTAAAAATTTCAACAATATAGTTTTTTTATTTTACGTTATAATGGTAGTGTTATACATTATTGTGCAGAGATATTTGTTAAATTACGTATGCGAAGTTTTAACGAAATAAATAAATAGCGACTTTTGTGAAAACAATTTTAAAATATTGTATTTACATAGAAAAAATATATGGATATGGTCCATTTTTGCTTATATTTTGCACCTATTTATATTATGTATATATATGTACAATAATATAAATAAAATGTGTTTCATTGTGTTTTATAGAATTGAAATATTCGATTTTATATTTAATAGGCAAGAAATTATACAATATTCGTCTAAATGCGATTAATCGTAGTTGGCAGCACTAACTATAACAATAATTCGCCACTACGTGTCCCGATGTTGATTGAATTTAATATCGCGTCCAGGTGCAAGTATTACACGATTATCCAATAAAATCAAACGAGTTCGGTGTTTTATAATGAACACACTGCGAAGACTGATATTTATGATTATCGGACAGCGAAAATTGAATTTGCCTATTCCAGGGAAGTAGAAGCTTAGTTAGCGCGGAAAGAGCAGACTTTAAGATCATTATGATTCAGTGAGTTGAAACGATCGCTATCGATAACAAATCGCGAATATTCTTCGTGCATGAATATTCGCTGTTTTTTCAGTTATTAAACAATGAAAACACAAATAAGGGAAATTATCGTCCACAAAACATAAACATTGCTGCATTGTACACGCGAGATACAAAGAGAATTTTATATTATTATATTTAAAAATATAATGGAATACATACTTTTACCTTTGAACTTCAAAATACATTTTTATAACGAAATTTTTCAAAAAGCATTTCAATATTTTTTGAAATTAAATACAAATAATAATTTTTTTTAAATTTTCAATCATATGAATGTTTTATTTTTAAATAAATATAATAAATATAATAGAATATGATAAAAATTGAATGTTACTGCAAGCAAAAATTAAAGTTAAATTTTCACTAATAGTGTATGAGATACCAAGAAATAATATTGTCTTGCTTCGTCTCGAAATTGAAGACAAGATTAGAATAAGATTTTTAATTAGTTATCAAAACAAGTTAGTTAATTATCAAGACTAAGATACTCAAAATATTATTGTGATCTCTTGTCAAGATTATTGATTTTTAAAATGTTAATGTAATTATATATATATTTGTAAATTACATGAGAAAAAATCACTATATTATATACGAATTTAAAACATTTATTTATTAAATAAAAAAATTCATATTACTAAATTTAATATAATATTAATATAACAATAATAGCACAAGCTTGCGAAATTTTCGGTTTAGTTAATTACAAAAAGCAGAGTAGGTGGATCTGATAGATTTTTTGACACTGAAAACGAATCTGGCCGCAGAATTTCTCCAGCATGTCAGGTTTTTGAGTAATGTGTGATTAAATAGTCCAAAAATGCTATTTCGGCAAATTCATGAATTTATTATGAGGGAAGATAATTTTTTAAAATATTTCTGTCAATGGCATCGTATAGCATTAGTCTTCACCTTTCAAATCCATTTTTGATTGTTGTCGCACGATTTTTTTTTGCTGAGATATACAAGTTATAAGACTGGTCATGCATAGTAGTCCAATAAACCATTCCAATGATAACATTGAATTAAAAATTTTATGTGCTGAAAAATTGACAAAAAACAATACGCTTATAACTTTTCCACTAACAAAATGTCGGATCACATACATTATAATACTTTACCGCAGCAGAAAAAGAAGAGTAAGTAAGTGCAATTAGAACTTTCCAAGCGGGAAGAGAAAAAAGCGAAGGAAAAAAAAGAATACGCTCTCGAAATACCCTGGATACCATCGAAGTTTAAAGGTCATTCTACATTAGTCGCAAGCAGCCAATCGCATGAACGCAAGCAGAATACTAGTAGTACTTAATAACGGTACTAGCATTAGAAAATAATGTAACATCCTTAATGTAACATCACCGCTGAAAGCGTCGCGTTGCTAATCGTTATCGATTTATTTTTTCTACCGACTCGAACGACGCTTATGAATACGGTACACGCGTTCGCAAGAATGAGAATGAACCTCATCTTTCATCCCTCGTCTACGGGATGCAGATCCGTAGTAGCCGCACGAGCCACGAGTTTCTCAGCTCGTACAAGTTGGGCACAGGACCCGCTTCAACTTGGCCGCAGGAATCTTCCAAGAGCCATTATAGGATTTTCGGTATCCGAAAATTGATTTGGCCCGGCGCTTCGGCTCTCCAACTTACACCATCCGCAGACTATCGATTCGACGGGAACTGTTCTCGCCGAGAAGAGAGATCGCGAATCCCGGTGAATCGCGCGAAAATGGCGCTGTCGATAAATCGACGTTTAATTTAATTAATTAATTTTCCCGTGACATGGAAATGAATAATATCGAGCATTTTTTTCAGTTATTTACCTTTTTCGATCGCAATTGAGGATAAAGAATAATACCAATACATTCGAGAAGCTCGAATGAAGATGTTAATCTGCATCGACTTTCCTAAATTTAATTGCTGCGAAAGGTCTTCGCCTCCCCTCATCTATTGCAAATAACATCGACATGAATATGCATGAGGGAAAAATATCGAGTATGTAGAAAATGTCGATACTTGATATAAATGTTCGTATTTGATGTAAAAAAAAAGTAAAAGTATATATATCGATACCCTATTAAATTTCAGCATTGCTAGCCGCGGGGCCGCATCGCCCGCGGATGCAATTTCGCGGATGCATAACGCATATACAAAGCGATCACGTGCAGATCATCCATCTATTCCTCAATGTTTCCTTTCCGAGCGATATCATCGCAGATGGTTTCCTAAACGTGTATTTTCTCTACTTGATCTTTCTACATCGCATCATACGTTTTTCTTTTGGACGAAAAAATTTTTTATTACAATAGAATTAGGTAAATCTTCCAAATTTTACAAATTAAAGCAATTTAATTGAAATAATTAAGCAATTCATTTAAATAAAGCAATTTAAAAACGCTAATTTTTCTTGATATAAAAGATACGGATTTTTAAGAATAGTTTAATATAGCTATTTTATCTGTTATAAGCAATAACATATTTTCCAATTGTTTTTTCTTAACGAATTTTAGTAAGAAATTTCGTGCACGTGATGTTTAACAAATTAAAGATGTTATTATATTAAATATATAATGTGCAAATATATATTTAAAAATATATTTAACAAAAATATAATTAATATTATATATTTAAAAAAAATATATATAATATATATATATATATATATATATATATATATATACTTCCCTCCGAGCGCCCTGATAGAATAATTTACAAAATTTACCAATTCGAGAAGGAATCTTCAAAAATCGGCAGATTGCCGATCAAAAATCTTGTTTTCCCGCATTTTTCCTCTGTCGTGAAATCGCGGAGAAAGGTGCCAACTCTGTTTTTTACAGTCTCGATCGTTTGGAATCGTGTGGCAATGACGGTAGAACGATACCAGGCGAATTTCAGAATCCTGTACGTGGCTTCAAAGGCCATACACATATGTTCCGCTTATTTTAGCGATATCGATACTTTACTGTTAGGGGGGACTTCATCCCCCCGCCCTGTATCGAAGCGGAATGTAAAGATAGCGCGACAATACAATGTCGCAGGATCCCCGATGACGGTCGTCGCCCATATCGAACGAGGATGCGATGCGTAAGCCATGAAGTATCGCGGTAACTACGCTAACGGATATACGAGAAGAATGAACAAGAGAGAAACGCAACGAATAAAATTCCCTTCCTTTTGTACTTTTTCGCTATATATTTAATCCTTAATCCGGCTGCTTATTCAAAGAAAATTTAAAATAATAATATGCATTTGTTTTTTTGTAAAAAAATCATATAAGAGATCATATAAGAGATGCAAAGCTCGGATATTTTAATATCTTACAATTAAATTTTTCTCCTCTGAAAGAGGCGTATTATTGTATTATATTATTGTTGCATTTACATTGCAGTCTCTTTACCATGATGTATGCGATATTCCTTGTGCAATATTCTTGTGCTTGATATACAACAAAAATACATAATAATAGATCGTAGTAAAAATATTGATATAATTTATAAAACACGACATTTAAAAAATTATAGCTAGTATTTCATGATTTCATTTTTAACTAAAAGCGATAAACGATAACAATTATATTATTAAATGAAATGGTTCAAACTGAATTTTGTTGTGAGGGGTTGCTTATAAAAGCTATCTGTAATAACAAACAATTTTTTTACAATGTAATGTTTAATTTAACATATTTAATTTAACATACAAATTTAACATATTTAATTTAACATACAAATATTTTACATATTACACGAATTTTATTCGTTTCAAACGTTACAATTTTTATTATATCGAAATTGTCTACATTATTATAAAAAAGATATTATTAAATTAAATGATTCAAACTGAATTTTGTTGTGAGTATAGGGGTTGCTTATAAAAGCTATCTGTAGTAATAAACAATTTTTTTATAATAATGTGAATATTTCGACATAATAAAAGTTGTAGGACTCTGAAATAAATACAATGTAATGTTTAATTTAATACAAATATTTTACATATTACACTAATTTTATTCGTTTCAATCGTTACCATTTTTATTATATCGAAATTGTCTACATTATTATAAAAAGATTATATGCATATCTATTCGTTCGTTAATATAGATAGCATTTACAAGCAACTATATTATTATATTCACAATAAAATTCAGTTTAAGCTATTTAATTTGATATATATTTGTTATAATCTATCTCTTTTAGTTTAAAAGATAAAAGGGGATGGTCACTTTACATGGAACATTCTGTGTATATATATATATATATATATATATATATATATATATATGCTTGCCATTTTGAATATTAAATCTTTTCATATTTTAAGATATTTAAAATATTTTACATTTATATATTTGAGCTAGAACGATATCTCATTTACAAAAATAAATTAATCAATCGAATTGTAAATACATTTGAAACTCAAAAGTGTGTTTCACTTAAATAATTTATTTTTTTATATAACTTTTTATCGCGTGTCAAATAATTAATAATTAATAAAAGAAGTAATTATTGAAAATTTTGTATTTTGTACATGTGGTACTTAGCAGTATATAGTCTATATTTTTTTATCCGTCTTTATTTTATATTATATAATATATATAGTACATATTTAAATAAGAAATATAATTAATTTCCTTGTCATAATTTAATTCCATTCGCAAAATTTTTTTATAAGATAACATCTATCTAAAATAATATTATTTCCAAATTATTTTCAGTCAATATTTTTCGTATTTGTACCTAGTTAAGAGCTTTTGTCAAATCTATAAAAAGTACACATCACTCGTTTTAATCAATGAAGCAATAAAACAATGTTGGAAATGTTTGACTGGATTTTCATTTGTATTGTTTATTGTTTATTTTGAAAACAAATCATATTTGTATTGTTTTCTCATGGCATAAAAAAAAATAATTCTGCGGATCATCAACAGCAAAAATTGACTAAAAAAACAGAATTCTCGCTTCTTAATTAAAACAAATTTATCAAAAAATGTATCATTAAAATTAAAATCCAAATCATAAGCATACAAAATTATATATTTAAAACACAAGAAAATTATTTATGCTTTCGACAAAATTAGAGACAAATTTGCGACTTATGTCAATAAACCTCTGAAGCGCGTGCGATCATTATTGATTGATTTACGCGCGTGTCTTTTTTAAAATTCAATCACGAACGGAGAAAAGAAATTTGATACATTTTCAAAAAAAGATGTTCGAAAAAAAGAGTCACAATTCTGTTCCTGTAATCGAGGCAAAAGCGCGCAGTGATTTGTATTTCCTATTTCTTTCTAGGATGTATCCTCGACATTCCATCGGCCCCAGTCTAGACTGGGCTACGACGAGCGTCCTCAGTCCCGGGTGGGATACGCCTCGGATTCCAGGTGCACCAGCGGGCTCGGATACGACGACACCGGTGGGGGTTACCTGGATCAGAGTGACCCGAGGATGTATTGCACCGGCGGCTATTGCATGGGGGATACGATGATGGCGACGAGCAGAGGTGTATGCGGCGAGGAGGTCGAGCTCGACATGCGGAGGCACATTCAGGCCTGCGCCTGCACATGCAACCACATGGGCTATGGGAATTATATGGACTATCAGGTGAGTCAAATATATTCACAATTGACAAATTTATTTAATTGATAAAATGAGGGCTTCTCGGAAAAAGAGAGAGGAATTGTAATTGAAGATATATGAGGTGGACAATCTCTCGTAAGCATGAGAAAGGCAGGTAAAAATAACCCCATAAGTTCCTACTTTTCTGAAATTTTGGTCTGCAACGTATCTTTTGTCATCATCATTTACTTTCTATCGATCAAATATATTTTTCTTGGAAACAATTAGCTTTGACGAAATGATACAAGAATATCTTTTTTTTTAAATGATGTGAAGAAAAAGTCTAAAAACATATTTAAAAATATAAAAGAAATCTATCGACTTTAAAGTTTTATAAATTAAGAGATTTATAGATGAATGATTAATGATGAAGGTCATGGATGAATTAGAAACTTATAAACCATGCCTGGCTTTCGAACATGATATCAAGAATTCTATTATGCTTTTAAACACATTTATGTAATATAAAAATAAGTATTACAGTAATACAAAAATAAGTATTATTAAAATCTACAAATATAAAAGTTGTTGGAAAAAAATTCTCAAATTTTAATAATCTAACTTAAAATCTAATAATCTAACTTCAAAAATCTTGATAGAAATCTTGATTGCGTTGTAAAAAGTTTTATATGAATTTATGGGCTTATTTTTATCTTTTACTCTACATGCCTTTATCGAAATACTCTGTATTTGATGTTCAAAAAAATATTTGTGCACGATGTTCATTGTTGTCTACATTTATCAAAATTTAACTGCAGATAAAAAGTGAGGAAATTTAATCGTTTCACTGTGTAGTTTCAATTTGTTCTCGATCTCGAAATGATAGGAATATTTCAAATGCGATGATGAAATCACCTGGGCTTTGCTTTGTTGCGAATCATGCGTAATATCGCGCTTGTTACACAAGTGCGTGCACGCGCGTTTGTAATCGCGATGCGATATTGCGTTTTGTCGAGGACTATTCTGTGTGTGTGAGATAGAGAGAGAGAGAGAGAGAGAGAGAGAGAGAGAGAGAGAGAGAGAGAGAGAGAGAGAGAGAGAGAGAGAGAGAGAGAGGAAGAAATCCTTCTCTCGAGAGTCTCGTAAACGTTTCGTGATGAAGGATAGAAAGCCATTCGTTTCATAAATATAAAGGAAAAATTAGGCATCTCGAGATATATAAATATAATGATGAGATTTTTCTATCGCAAATCATGTAACTATGTAAGTAGGGTCGACACTGTTCGCAACTGAGTTTCTCGGAATATTACAAGTTGCTTCATCTCAAATTTTGAGATTACGCGTTCTTGCAAAGTTTAAAGATCCAAAGAATAAAATACATTATAATTAAAAAAATTGTTTTCCCATGTTTTAGAAATATAGAACTAGTATAAAATTCAAAGTTAAAAATACTTGACTCAGCTGTCTTCCATGAGGAAAGAATTGTGTAATTGTCACTTTATAGTTCATTTCTCTTCGCTTATGAAACATTCTAATGCATTCAGCGTCACCGTTGTGATGAGCTAATTTGCTAACGTATTCATAAAACTTACAAAAGACGACAGAGCCCGAGATGTAAATTTAAAGCCCTTATATTAATCCTTTATAGCAAGAGTTGTTATCTCGCTAGAGAATTTTAAAAGCATTCTATTTTTCATTGTTACATGTATATTTTTCATAATGCAATTTGATGAACTATTGATGAAAACATGTACATTCATTTATTTTTTTTTAATGCGATCCAAAATCCTTGTGACATATTCTCTCAATTGCTGCTGCATTTAACGTAGATATAAAATCGCGTGAATAATTTGACTCATGCAAATTTAACTTGTATTTAAAAAGATTATAAACAGAATTGAGAACTAGAAATCCGATGTGTAAAAATTCTTTATTAAAATTTCTAATAAATTTCTAATAAATTTGCCATACTTTCAAATTGATTCGTCTGAATTTTGCTCGAATCGATTGTCTTCAAGATACAGTACTTTTACCATTCGTCTCGCGATAAATACGTAATGTTCGCGGACGCGGGAGCTCATCGAATTATTACGAATCGCGCGATCTGCCCATCCATAAGTCGCCTCTCCCTAGGAGATCCCGACTTTCGCGTCTGCGCTTGCTATCAGAGGTAATTCATCGTGGTCTGAAAAATTCACAAGCAGCTTCCAGCTTTGAGACCTCGTCCCGCTGTTTGCTTTTTCCGTTGGCGTTTCATCTTTTACGTGCGACCGAAACTGTCCATGAAATACTCTCGCGGAAACTCGAAGAATAGTGAAAAAACAGGAAAGGCGAACGGGAAAAGAGAAAAAAGTACGGGAAAGATAATCGAAAAAAATGTAGTTTGTAGATTCCACCTGGATTTCTTCAAGAACAAATAATAATCGATCAATATGCGTTAAAATTAACATCTTTATAATCATGCGATAATAAATGTCTCCGCGAGACGTTCGTAAAGAATGTTTCAAGTATTTTGGCAAAAAGTGGGTAATCTCTCGTGGGCATGAATAGAAAAAATATAGAACTAGAACAGGTAAAAATAACCCTATAAGTTCCTATAAAATTTTTCCTACAATATATTTTTACCGAGATATTTGTCTTTAAAGTTAAAATTCGAGAAGTATTTTCTTTAATAACTTTTGAAAGATTTTGTAAATTTTGTAGATTTTTATATATTTTTTAATAATTATTATTTTTATGTTAAAAAGTTATAAATTGTATGATGAATTTCTTGATATCACATCTGAAAGTCAGGCACGGATCATCTGTAAATCTTCAATTTCTATTTACAAAACTTTGAAGTCGATAGGTTTCTTTTATACTTCTAATATTATATATTTTTAGATTTTTCTCTTTTATTTTTTCTAAAAACAAAAGAATACTCTCTTGTTTCATCTCGTCAAAACTAATTATTTTTGAGGAAAATATATTTGATTAAAAGTAAATAACGGTGATAATAAAATAATGATGATAAGAGATGGGTTGTGAAAAAAAAAATTTTTTTTTAAATAGGAACTTATGAGTTTTTTATCTGCTCTTTTCATTCTCATGAAAAATTGCTCACCTTTACCAAAATATAGTGTATATATTTCCAGATTTTTTCTATTATATCCCGTGAGAATATACATTTTTTAATATACATTTTTATGACAAATCTATGAAAATCTAATGCTGCGGATTCAGTGATGACTGTACTCCATATAAGTATTTCATTAAAAGTATTGAATATATATAAAATTCCGCGATTATATCAACAGCGTCGTCAAGTAAACGAAAGAAAATAGATTACATTTGAATTTTACATGATTTCTTCCTCGATCAATCATCACGCTCTTTGTTATACAAAATATATATATATATATATATATATATATATATATATATATATACTGTCTGCGATAAAAAGCAAAATTTTCACTTACAAATTTCCATTTTATCTTATCCCTAGATTATACAATAAATCATCTTTCTCTATCTGAAAACATAAATTTAATTAACCACGAATGAGATAATTATAGCACAGCCAGTCGAGAGAGATTCAACTACATTACATTCGCCGCATTCTGTACACTGGATTTTAAAATTACGAAAGATTAATAACAGAAGTATCTCTGTCCAATTTATCTGTTTATTATTTTCACGTGGAAACGCCGCGTTCCAAAAAATCACGGATTCGCTCGGAAAAGTACGCGCGGTTTTTCGAACTTTGACGGCGCGGCCTCATTTTACCGGAACATTTCGCGCAGAAAAAGGAACAAGGAGATGGAAAAAGAGAAAAAGAGAGAGAGAGAGAGAGGAGAAAAATTCATTTTGAAATGGGTGCTGCCTAACGGGGCCGCGCATCGAACTTCAGAGCCCGCGTCCTGGTTCGGACGAACTGCGATTCTGGCCGCTTGCCAGGGAATCGCGAAGGGATCGAAAGAAGCGAAAACGAATGAAAAAAAGAGACCGGTACATGCGCATATCTATCATCAAGATACCTGTCAGGTACGACGATGTACGTGCATATATGTGCATGTGTAGGTGTCTGTGTATGTGTGTCTTATCGAGAGCGTGTAATGTATGTGTGTGGCTGCGCGAGAGAGAGCGAAATGCGTGCAGCGACGAAAATCGTGTACACACGAGGCTCTCCGAAAAATCATTTCGAACAGAATAGGCGGGGGACGAGGGGGTAGAAGAGGTGGGAGGGGGAACAGGGGAGAGGGGAATCCATTCTCGGGGCGAGAAGGCGCGCAGCAGCCGAGTCGTTACTGCAGTGCGACGAGTAAACTTCGTCGAGTGCATAGATTGCACACTATGCGGGTTTCCGCGTGGCAGAAACATACTTATAGAGCTACCGTATATAGTGCGAGGATACGCGAGATTGTAAAAGTTCATAAACCTGTGTGTATTTCTCCCCTTTTCCTTTCGAATATGAAATATTCGTATAGTAAGAGCACGAACGAGAATGTAAAAGTTTATAAACCCGTATATATTTTCTCCCCTTCTTTCTTTTCGTGAATGTAAAATATTCAAGGGCAGGAATATATTTGGACAAAAGTATCTTTAAATAAGAACATTGAGTAATTATTAGAATTACATTTTTTTGATATGTATTAATTTTAAAAGATTTAATGGTTAATATTTTTTTCGATATAGATACATGCTATAATACGAACTTGTAAACAGAGCTTTAACCCAAACTAATTTGGCTTTCACTTCACACATTTCAATCGATTCTTTATCTACTTTCAATTATATGTAAATATAGTTATAATTGAACGAAAATATAAAAATTAATCAAGTTTGATAAAATAAAGTTTATAAATCTAAAAAAGGATGTAATTTAATATCGTATCAAAATCATTTTTTCTAAAATATTGTAATATATGAGTACATGCAATTAAAATAACCAAAGAATTCGAAAGACAAAAGAAATCGATTCCTCGTTACATTGATAGTGATTAATAAGAGACTAGCCATCAAATAGAGCGAGCGTATATTGAGAGTACGTTTCGTCCATATTT